AAACCTAAATATGGTATCAATGAAACTGTTCAACGTATGATTGACCGATTATTTGTTGATGATTGGAGTATCAATCGTTTTTATGAAAATTATTCTGACAAATGTCACCCAACGGAATGTAGCTATTCATTTGTACAAAATTTTGATATACTCCATATTGTAACAACTATTCTTGATCTTTATGGATGTCTAACAATACTTTTAAGTCTCTTCATTCCATTTATCATTGATATTATCTTTCGAATGCATTACAAAAGAATGGAAATGGTTATTACACCAGATACACCATTACAAGATTAAGTTCGTTACTTAACCGCCAACTTCGACATTTGCTTATTTCATCGTACATGCTTTTCGTCTGTTCGTCTCTTTTCCTTGAAATAATACAATGACGTTGGTCTGAAAACTCGCTTAGTGCTTTCTCGTAGAAATCTGTTTTTAACCTTCAGTCATCTACTATATTGTTGTCAATCTAAAATGATCAATCTAATTGGAATAACTACCTACGATTTCAAAATTGAACGGAGTTTTGAGTAACTTGACACGTCATTAATGAATGTGGCCCTACAGACGAATAGAAGATGATGAAACTCTCAAACCTAGAGAAGATACAACGCAACGTTTTGTTGAAACTATTCACTTCCTATATTCAAAAATCTAATGGAAAACTTAGAATTGTAGTAATTCAACTTAAATTCAAACCCCCATAGATCGCATTAGAATAACTTTGACTTCATTACACTTTCCCCTGTCTCGGGTGTTGAAAACCGCAGATCGATTATTGCTTCCATCTTCGGGTTACTCAAAGACACTCGCGCTTTCATTTTATTTTGCTATAAATATAAAGTTAGATAACTATTTTAGCTGAATCTTATTGCAGAAAAAATTCGTATGTCCATGTCGATTTACTCTTCGATAAATCTTTTTAATCTTTTTTCTTGAGGGTGGGTGTGGGTGTGCAAGCTGCCATGACTAGTTTCGTCTTTGTTAGAGACTTATCAAATGGCATCTATTCACAAGTAACGCGGCCTAGTGGCCGCTAAACTCTCTACTGAAAGGATAGTATTAGAGCGCTACTATTCGTTCGAATAGAGAAAAAAGTTATTTCAGTTGAACGATCTGATCATTCGATAATTTGTCAGAATGTCTTACGTAGACCAATTTCGCTTCCTGAAATCTTCTGAAATTATAACGCCTAGTCGTTTGTCGGCCTCTCTCCGGTCGACCACTCACCGCTAGCCGTCGGTACCTAATAAGTGTCTAATGCTATTTTCATATTAAAAAGTACCTCGTTCTTGTTGAATCCGTCTCTAGCCAAGTTGCCGAAATTTTTCACAACTTCGTGACCTACAGTATATCCTTTATCATCATTTTTAGTCGAATAAGTTGATAATCTATATAGTTTTTTCTCGAAGCTCGAAAAGACGTGATATATATATCTTAGAAACATGATAGCCACTTTGCGACAGTCTTATAAATGTGACTTTA